TTTTTTTTCCCCCCCTCTCTCCCCAGGCTACGGGCACGCCGCTCCCAGCACGGACGGCGGGAAGGTTTTCTGCATGCTCTACGCCCTGCTGGGCATCCCGCTGACGCTGGTGATGTTCCAGAGCCTGGGCGAGCGCATCAACACCTTGGTGCGCTCGCTGCTGCGCCGCCTCAAGAAGCGCCTGGGCATGCGGCGGCCGGAGGTGTCGATGGCCAACATGGTGACCATCGGCTTCTTCTCGTGCGTCAGCACGCTGTGCGTCGGCGCCGCCGCCTTCTCGCACTACGAGAACTGGAGCTTCTTCCAGGCCTACTACTACTGCTTCATCACGCTCACCACCATCGGCTTCGGCGACTACGTGGCTCTGCAGAAGGACCAGGCGCTGCAGACTCAGCCGCAGTACGTGGCCTTCAGCTTCGTCTACATCCTGGCGGGGCTGACGGTCATCGGCGCCTTCCTCAACCTCGTGGTGCTGCGCTTCATGACCATGAACGCCGAGGACGAGCGCCGCGACGCCGAGCAGCGGGCGCTGCTCAGCCGGGCCGGCCAGCCGGGCGCCGTGGCCGCCGTCCCCGAAGCCACCGCGGTGGCCACGGCAGAGAGCGGCTTCAGGAACGTCTACGCCGAGGTGCTGCACTTCCAATCCGTGTGCTCGTGCCTGTGGTACAAGAGCAGGGAGAAGTTGCAGTATTCCATCCCCATGATCATTCCCAGGGATTTGTCCAGCTCGGATACGGGCGTGGAGCGCAGCCATTCCTCGCCCGCCCGTTGTCCCGAGACTCCGGAGCACCGGTGTTTCTGCCGGCCGCGCCGTTCCGCCATCAGCTCCGTGTCCACCGGGCTCCAGAGCCTGGCGGCCTTCCCGGGATTCGCCAAGCGCCGCAGCTCCGTGTAGGCCCTTTCACCCTCCCCCCACCCCTTCACCCTCCTGGACTCTGCAACGACACCGGAGCCAGACCGACCCGGTTCGCCCCGGCGTGGATTTTAATATCGAACCTCTTGGTTTAATGGATTTTAATTTCACCACCAAAAAAAAAAAGAAAAAAAAAA